AGGGACTAAGGTAACTCACCTGTCCTTAAGATATCTTCTACCTCCAGGGACTAAAGTAACTCACCTGTCCTTAAGATACCTCCAGGGACTAAGGTAACTCACCTGTCCTTAAGATATCTTCTACCTCCAGGGACTAAAGTAACTCACCTGTCCTTAAGATACCTCCAGGGACTAAGGTAACTCACCTGTCCTTAAGATATCTTCTACCTCCAGGGACTAAAGTAACTCACCTGTCCTTAAGATACCTCCAGGGACTAAGGTAACTCACCTGTCCTTAAGATATCTTTTAACTCCGACAGCTAAGATTTTCATGAAAGCTTCCACAATAAAAACTGCAGTGAAGAAATAATTGAATATCTTCAAGGCATACACCAGTTCCTAAAATGCAAATAAATAAAATATTATGTTCTAAAGTTTGCTTTGCAAACAGGCGTTTAGGCCTTGCTTCGTCCAATAAAAAATTTGTCTTCATGAATAACTAAAAGAAATAACCACAACAGTGGAGTAACTAAAAAAAAAGCTACAAATTGTTACAAAAATTTCAATCATCATGTTACGTTTAGTATATAATTATTGTTCCAACGCGCTGTACATTTTAACAAAACATTCAGTTAGAAGAAACAACAGTCACTTTTAACTCCTTATAAAAGATGAAAAATACACTGACCAACGGCATCATATAGAATTCCATTGCCATGGTAACCACATTCAGTCCTATGACCGCTGCTATGGCTAGGTCGAAATATTTGCTGGTCACGATGTTGTGGGTATACAGACGAGGCTTAGAGTAATTAATGTAATAAGGTGGTTCTCTCATTTCTACAAGATTAATAAATATTGAAAAGTGACTAAACACGAAACGAAAATACTTTTGTATTAAAAAATAATAATGCAATAAATTCAAATAACTAATGAGAAAAACTGATATCAATAATAACATTTAATACTAAAAAGCAAGATGTTAAAACATTGTTTGTTTGGTTAAAATCTTAAAGAGTTTAATGAAAACAATAGATATTTTCCCAAGCCCTAAATCGACTGCATTTTCCTTAAAAATTAGAATAACAGATTGAAAAATAAACACTAAACTTTGATATTTGAGATATGTTTTAAAAGAATATTTGGAAAATTCCAAACAGTATTTATCTTCTCTGTAAGAACAAAACGGAATCGTAGATGGACACAAATATCATAAAAACCTTAAGGTTAAAAATATGAAAATTTTGACAATAAAACTATTGTTGAGAAGCCAACATTGAATGCATAATTTCCCTTGCAGAAAAAGAAAACATATGATACAATCATTTGTCCAAAATATAAAGGCCTTAGGTATTTTTAAAAGCGCACTTTGATCGGTGTTTTCGTACACAAACAATGAACCGTAGCGACTTTCAAAGAAACAATTATATTTTTGAAAAGCCCACTTCGAATACAAGTTTTCCATAGAAGAACATCAAAATCAACTAAATTTAAATGTTTAATTTAAAGCGAATGTAACAATTCTCGGTTGCAACAATTTAACTGCGTTTTATAAAAATAAAAATAGAGGGCGTAAAGTTCTTTGTGAAAGTAAAAGTCATGACGTTGGTAATGATTTCACTTTCGTTACTATTTCATCATCTTTCTAAAATAATTATAATAATAACAAGGATAAATGTCCTTCCAGCAAGAACAGCACAAAATCTCATCGTAAAAGAATTATGAAATTCAGTCGTGAAGCACAGCTTCACAAGTTAAAACTATCCCGAAGTTTAAAAAGGCATTAGAAGTTAAAAATTCATTCCCAAGACGTCTTATTGTTCTTTAATCATCTAAAAAAAGTGACTTAACCTATAATAGATGCCCAAAAGGTTACAGTTGCCAGTCTGAACATAAAGTGTCCCATGGTTGTTTGTCAGTTCTTCGACAAAAAATAAGATAGGTACAACAATTTTAAAGATGATATCCAATTTACTTTAAAAAACATTTCAAATTCTTACTTTTTCTTTTCTTTTCCAACTTACGAGCTCGCTTAGCTGCTCGTCTTGCCTTCTCCTCCTTCTCCTGCTCCTCCCGACACCGATGAAAGTTTTCCACCACAACCCCCACAAACATGTTTAAAACAAAGAAAGCGACGAGTAGGAGAAACGAAATAAAGT